CCACCATCCACTTGCGCGTGTCGTCGGCAACAGCGGCTGGTGTTCCGTTCACCAGCACCTCGCGGCCAATGTGCACCTCATATTGGGGTTCGTGCAGTCGTGGCAGTCGAAGCCCTCCCCGTGTCACCCCAGCAGGCAGCCCGGCCGTCTGCGCATCAACCGTGGTGGACTCTGCTGCTGTGGTGGCCGTTGCTGTTGTGGTGGCTGTTGTTGCTGTTGTTGCTGTTGTGGCGGTGGTGGTGTCAGCAGGCTTCGTGTCTGGCACCGCTGCTGTGTCGTTCGTATTGGTGGACTGGCCCTCCTTGCTCTCCTTGATCGCCTGTGGATAAGAAGAGAGGTGACAGGGGGGAGGGTGAGGGTCAAGGGCGAGCATGGTGAGAATGGGAGCTGCGAGTTTTACTAAGATATGATGCAATTGTGCGTGTGTGCGTACGTGGGGCCGGGCGTGTTTTCTATCTCTGTCTCTCTGTCTCTCTCTCTCTCTCTGTCTCTGTCTCTGTCTCTCTCTATCTCTCTTCATCTGTGCATGCGTATGCGCGCGCCTCTGACCTTCTCCAGCGCGTCCCAGAGTCCGGCCCTCCACGGCTCAACAACGACCTCAAGGCTGCACGCGCTCAAGGTGGTGGTGGCGGCGGTGAGGGGCAGCACGTGGGTATTGCAGGATGCACGGGAAGAGGGGGATAGCCGGGCAGACACACGGAGGGAGGAACAGACAAACCGCCAGCCATCCACGCAGCCGGACACACACACACACACACACACACACACACACAGACACACACACACACAGACACACACACACAGACACACACACACACAGACACACACACAGACACACACACAGACACACGCAACCTCACCCTGTGCCGTCATCAGCAAAGCCGGCTGGGTAGAAGCGCTGTGCACCGAGCTCAGACATGCTTGGACACGGATCGATAAATTGAGTGGGCGAATGAGCCAGCAGGTGAGGTTGGGCGAAGTATGTTTTGGAGTTTGCAGCTCACAAACACTTGGTTGCTTGCACGAACATACACGCATACATGCACGCACATGCATACGTGCACATTGATGCTGCCCCACCGTTTGTCAAAGTTCTTTCCCATTTGGCAGAAGTTTGCGTAGTTGGTGTCACCGAGCCCAAGCACGGTGTACCTTGCAACCGCAATGCGCTCGTTAGCCCGCAGTCACACAGCCACACAGAGAGGCAAACACACACACACACACACACAGCAAAGAGATACATGTGCATACAGGGGCAAACAACACACGCACGCACGCACATCGAGGCGCGCGCGCCAACAGCAACACTTTCTGGGCCATCATCTCACTTGAGGTGTGCGAGGTAGTCGAGTGGCAGTGTCTTCTTCTTCAAACGACGCCAGAATCGTGCAGCGTTGTCTGGCGGGTCACCCTCGCCTGTCGTGGAGCTGACGATGACAACCACTTTCTCCTTCTGCAGGTCAAACTGCACAGTGACGAGATTGCAGGCCGGGACGACAGCGTAAGCATGCATGTGCACGAGTGTGGGTGACCACACAAGCAGGCTGCAGTGGACAAGCAAGCAGGCTGCAGGGCGTACCCGCTTGAACTGGTCCAAGCAATAGAGTTGGCACTTGAGCCCCTTTGCCTCTGCATCCTTCTCCAGGTCTTGGGCGATACTTTCGGCCTATCGACGAACAACAAGCGTCGGCAGCGAGTGTGGGTGTACGTGCATGTACTTGAAAACCATACAGAACGCCAGTGACATGGGTCTCGACACCCACAACCACCCCGATTGTCCCAATCACACACACACACACACACGCATCGCACACAATGACACACACACACACATACACACACACACACACACACACACACCAGCATGCATGCAGGATTACACTCGCACCTGGCCAGTCTGGGAGCCAAAGAGCAGGAGGAAGTCGTGCTCAGCCATGGCGAGTGGATCACAAAGAGACGTAAAGGAGGTGTGTGAAGTGTTGTGCTGTGCTGTGTGTTACACCAACGATGCACGCGTCGCCTCGTGTCAAGTGACGCTACACGACAGAACCTGCGAAGCAGAGCACAGCAGAGCAAAGCAGGATTTGTTGTGCTGCACGTTGTCTGCACGTTGTTCTTCGAGCAGCCAAGTCTGCTGAATTTTAACGAATGATACCCATCAATCTTCCAAACTTCGCTCGCTGTTCGGGAGGACAACACAGCACATTGCCACGACTTGCAACTTGTGTGTTGCTGCTGCTGTGTGTGAGTCCGTGTCCTTCCTTCCTTCCACTGCCAGCCACGGGCATGAGGTGAGCAGCAATGACAGTGGTGGTGCATGCGTGCGTGCGTGCGTGTGTGGGGTGTGTGTGTGTGTACCTTGCGGTGTGAAATGCACGAATACACGTGATGTCGGGTCAACTGGACCATGTGAAGTCTGCTGCATGCAGCAAGAGCTCACCTCATCGTTGTTTGCAGCCGATTGTTGGTCCGAGCACTGGGCGCAGCGCTGCTGACGCCTCCAGCTGTCCTCACTTCCCTCTATGTCACCCACACAGCAACCCAACGCACCGTCAGCTTTTGGTGTGTGTGTGCGAGAGTTGTGTTTGTTTGAGGTTTGTGTGTGTGTGCATGTGTGTGCATGTGTGTGCATGTGTGTGCATGTGTGTGCATGTGTGTGCATGTGTGTGTGTGTGTGTGTGTGTTTTGTGTGTGCAGTCGCGAGCTGCAGTCGCACGTTGTGTTCTTAGAGGTTGCCGTTTGCTTTGCGCTGCGTGTCTTCGTCGGTCCTAACTGCACATGCCGTCTTGTGCTGGTGCAACAGGGCGAATGTGTTTCCCATTTATGGCCACTACCGCTTTGTCGACATCACCACAGCCAAACTCCCGGAAGCAGAACGGGTGCGTGACATGCAGTAAGACCAAAGTGTCATTTGGATGTACCTGTGCCGTTTTAAGCTTCCACTGTTCGCACGCGGTCATCTTGGAGGTGGTTCCAGCCCTGTTTTTCCCCTGTGCTTTCTTCCTGTGCTTCTTCCTGTGCTGTTTCCTCTGTTGTGCGTCTCGCCCCCGTGCGCCTCACTCGTGTGCGCGTATCGTTGCAGGCCGCGGCGTTTGACAAGTTGCATGAGCGGTATGCACCGGATCTGATCCGCATCATCCTCATGATGCGCGGGTTCTACATCAAGATTGGTCAGATTGCCTCCACCCGCGCGGACTTTATGCCACCGCAGTTCCTCGACCGCCTCGACAAACTCCAGGTTGTGTGTGTGTGTGTGTGTGTGTGTGTGTGTGTGTGTGTGTGTGTGTGTGTGTGTGTGTGTGTGTGTGTGCGTGTGTGTGCGTGTGTGCGTGTGTGCGTGTGTGCGTGTGTGTGATTGAACTTGGTGTGTGTGTGTGTGTGATTGAATTTGGTGTGTGTGTGTGTGTGCATTGCAGCTGGGTTAATGTCGAGAGCTGCATGACAGCTTCCTTTCCCCCTGTCCATATGGTATCTGACCCTCAACTTCCGTGCTGACCGTTCCTCCATTTTCACTCACGCATCTCCTGCTCACCACCACCATTACCACCACTATGATCACCAGGACCAAGTCCCGCCAGAGCCGTTTGCGTATGTGCAGTCTGTTGTTGAATCGTCACTTGGACAGCCGCTGTCTGCTGTCTTTGCTGAATTCGATCCCACCCCACTCGGCGCTGCCTCCATTGGCCAGGTGCGGTGCTGTGGCGTGGTGTGTTTGTTTGTTTGTTTGTTTGTTGTTATGTTTGTTTGTTTGTTTGTTTGTATGTATGTATGTTTGTTTTGTTTGTTAATTTTGTTTGTTTGTTTGTTTGTTTGTTTGTTTGTTTGTTTGTATGTATGTATGTTTGTTTGTTTGTATGTATGTATGTTTGTTTTGTTTGTTAATTTTGTTTGTTTGTTTTGTTTTGTTTTGTTTGTGTGTTTGCAGTCATGTCCACTGCTTCTCCCTCGCACACCTCATCAATCACCACCATCACACTACTACCGCCACCATCAACAATCCACACGACCACCACCGCCACCAAGGCGCACCGCGCACGCCTGCACGATGGACGGGAGGTGGTGGTGAAGGTCAAGTTCCCCAAGGTGGAGGCGACCTTCGATATGGACATGGCAACCATCACCGCATTCTGCAAACTCGTGCAGCCAGAGCAAGTGCCGTTCCTGAAGGAGGTGCGCAAACAGTTTATGACGGAGTTTGACTACAGGCGCGAGGCGAGCAACCTCGACACGGTTGCAGACAACATCGAACCAATTTACGGCGACAGGGTGCGGCGTCTGGGGTGGTGTCTCGTGATGTTTGGAGGAGGGAGAGGACTGTGTGTGTTTGTGTGTGTGCGTGCGTGTGTATTTGTGTGTGTATTTGTGTGTGTGTGTGTGTGTGTTTGTGTATTTGTGTGTGTGTGTGTGTGCGTGCGTGTGTATTTGTGTGTATTTGTGTGTGTATTTGTGTGTGTGTGTGTGTGTGTATTTGTGTTTGTGTGTGTGTGTGTGGGGGGGGGGGTCTTATGCTTGCACTGTTTGGTTTCGCACGTTTCTGTGTGCTGCCTGTCAATGCCAAAATTTGCCCTCCTGACACGCCCGCGCTTCGTTTAATTCTCATCGAACACGGCTCAAATGGTGGCATGTCACCACCATCACCACCACCACCACCACCTCCAACATCACCGCCCATGCACTGCAGGTGCACATTCCGCGCCCCATCACTAATTTGTGCACGCGCGATGTGCTGGTCATGGAGTTTCTGCCCGGTGTGAAGCTTGTGGACGGTCTCAAGGTGACACAGCACACGTAGTTCGTGTGTCTTGTGTGTGTTTCTTGTGTGTGTGTGTGTTTCTTGTGTGTGTGTGTGTGTTTCTTGTGTGTGTGTGTGTGTGTGGTTCTTGTGTGTGGTTGCTTGTGCAGTCGCTTCTCGCACCTGTGCATCTGTATTTGGGAACATTTGTCGTTGCTTGCGCATTGGCGCCTTCTTCTCTTCTCACAGTATGTGCGCGTTCTCTCTGGTCTCAACACCAGGCGTTTTTCAAGACGGTTGCCGAGAAACGGTGAGCACGCAATGAACCAGCTCAGACATGCTGTTGCCATCATCTGTATCATCATCATCCCCATCCTCATCTTCCATCTCCCGCTCACACACACACACACACACACACACACACACACACACACAACACAAAACTGCTCTAGGGGCACGACGCTGGCTGCACTTGAGGCCGAGCGAAAGGAGAAACTGCGACGCGGCATTATTGAGCGCGGTCCCTCCGCCCGCACGATGCGACTGTACACCTGGATGGCAAAGGCGCGCGCTGCTGTTGCAAACGCCGCCATCATGTTGCGCAACACGCTGCTCGGATGGGTCATTGGCCGTCGCGAGTACACCCGCCCAGGTTGGCAGGAAGAGCGAACGGGAGGGGGAGGGGATAATAGTGGTGCGGTGTTGTGTGGTGTGTTGCGCTGTAGTTGAGTGTATTGGTGTGTGTATGTGTGTGTATGTGTGTGTATGTGTGTGTGTGTGCGTGCGTGTTCTTTGTCGTTGCTTCGTGGCGTTTTGCACACGGTGAAATGGCGCATTCACACTCCATCTCCACCATCACCACCACCTCTGCTGCTCTGCATGTCAGAGATTCCGCTCAACCTGCCTGAGATCCTGACGACGCTGATGGAGGTGCACGGGCACCAGATCTTCAACGACGGTGTGTGTTTGTGTGTGTTGTGTTGTGTGTGTGTGTGTGTGTGCGTGTGTGTGTGTGTCTGTGTGTGTGTGTGTGTCTGTCTGTCTGTATGCATGCATTCACTGGTTTTTTTCTCACAACCACCATTACGACCACCGCCAGGTGTGTTCAACGGGGACCCGCACCCCGGGAACATTCTGCTGCTGGACGACGGTCGTCTCGGGCTCATCGACTACGGACAGGTCAAGCGGCTCACCGTCGAGCAGAGGTGCGCACGGGTGAATGGTGATGGGGAATGGCGATGGAAGTGATGGGGGGGCGTGATGGTGGCAGTGAAGTGTTACTGGCAGTGATGATGATGGGTGGTTGTGATTGTTTTTTTGTTTTTTTTTTTTTTGGTTTTGGGCGGTGGTGGGTGGTCACTGTGGTGGCAATTAGGCTCTTGTGGCGCTGTTTCTTCTGCTGATTTCAACAACAGGTGTGTGGTCATGTTCGGTTTAACGCGTGTGCATGCAATGTGTGCATCATGATTGCCACAGGATTGAGCTTGCGCGTCTGATTGTTGCGCTGGCGGACGGGGACATGGACGAGGTGGTGCGTGTGCATGCGCACATGGGGTTCCGTTCCAAGAACAACTCGCGCTACGTATCGGAGAAGCTCGCCATCATCGGCTTTGACTACGACGACTTTGCGGTCACAGAGGGCATGAACATCCAGGTGTGTATTAGTTTGTGTGTGTGTGTGTGTGTGTGTGTGTGTGTGTGTGTGTGTGTGTGTGTGTGTGTGTGTGTGTGTGTGTGTGTGTGTGTGTATTAGTTTGTGTGTATTAGTTTGTGTGTGTGTGTATGTGTGTGTGCATAGCGCTTGCGCTTTTTGCACTCGCATGCACTCGCATGCACTCGTATGCACTCATATCTCCTCCCCCTGCCCCCGGTCTCCTTGACAGCAATTCATGGAGCACTTGAGCACGGTGGATGAGATTGAGAGCGGGGCAGACGAATTCGTGATGGCGAGTCGCGTGTCGCTGCTCCTGCGGGGTCTTGGCTTGCATCTCCAGTACCCAATGCACACGGCACAGGCGTGGCGGGCACAGGCCCTCGCACTCCTGCAGCAGCACGGCATTGACCCACACGCACACGCACACGCACACGCACACGCACACGCACACGCACACGAGGATGATGTTGCACACGCAGGCGATGAGCAACCCCATCACCAGCCATCGCTTGTGTTGGCGAAGCAAAGTGGTGATCGTGGTAGTGGTGGTGCAGTTCCTGCGCTCGCTGCGTAACAGCTGCACATGATGTTTGGCAAGTTCAAGCTCTTGTCACACCACACGTGACTCATGTCAAAGACAGATTCGCATCTGCATTGTGGGTTGTGGTACGGTCGTGGTTGTGGGTTGTGATACGGTCGTGGTACGGTCGTGGTTATGGTTGACTAGCAGCCATGCAGCCATGCAGCCATCTGTTTCTCTCTTTGTCTGCTGCAACTCCCTAGCGCACTCCTGATCCCTCCCTTCAATCTTCAACCCCTTGTCTTTCAACACACAGTGCCCTTACGCTCGCTCTGGTTGTTCATTTTATTGTTGGTTTGTGGAAGCAATGACAGCGGGAGCAACAACACGAGCAAACACGCCAATCCACCCACACGAAAATGATAGGGCTGGTTGGTTGGTTGCAGCAATGTGCTTTCACCACGCCGAGTGTTAGCCGTGTTGCCGCGAGCAAGCAAGCAAGCCACGCCACACACAAAGGCAACGAAACAAAAAAACACGAACCACGACAACAACAGGCACACACGGACGGAGAAGAACAAAGGGCATGACGCGTTGAGGTCAGGAGAAGGTTGGGGATTGGAGGGGGAGAGAGGGGTGATGGGTGGTGGGTCAAGAAAAGTTGCATCATGCATGCTTGAGTGGGGAGAGCGCGTCAAGCCGTCAAGCAAGTCGCAAACGCGTGTACGTGCGTGTGTGTGTGTATGTGTGGGTAGGACGTGTTGGCCAAGACAAAAGCAAGGAACGCGAGGGAAAGAAGGGGGAAGGAACAAGGCGACGGCGGGAACATGTAACAACGGGTCGCGAGTGAAACAACGCAAGGGCACCCAACACACAAAGACAACGGCACAAAAGACAAAAGGTTTTCTTCTTCTTCTCCTTCTTCCGACCCAAAGCAGAGCGCGTTAAGAGCCAACACCAATCAACAACAGCAAATTGGGGAGGGAGGGGGAAAAGAGACTGCGTGCGCGTGCGCGTGCGCGTGCGCGTGCGCGTGAACGTGAATGTATGCGTGCATGCGTGCGAATGCGTGCGTGAACGTGAGAAAGCCCACTCACTCACTCAGTCGCTCGCTCATGTGCACACCCGTCTACACCGCACAACACAGCACAGCACAGCAGGACGAGATTAGATGGAGGTCTCGTTGGTGCGGCCGGTGACCGACTCGTGGTAGCTGGCGTTGCGGTCCACGGGCGGCTGGCCGTTGTCGTCGTTGTCGTTGTCGGACGAGGACGAGTGCACCTCGGGCACCTCCTCCGCCTCTGCGACCGGTGCGAGATCGCCGCCGCTGCCGCCAAGGTTGTCCAGCATACCGGCCAGGCCCTCAAACGTGTCCTTCTGGCGCGGGGGCGAGCGGACGCTGCGCGGGCCCGCGGTGCTTCCGGGGCCAGAGCGACCAAAGTGCTTGACGGTACGGCGGGAGCTGCGGGCGCGCAGGCTTGGCTGCCCAAGCGATCCGCGCTCGGGCTGCGATGGGCGGGGGCGGGGACGCCCAAAGCCGGAGCCCATGAAGGATGGCTCCTCAAAGGAGCGGCGCCGGGACGTGCCGGAGTTCATGACGGAGTAGGTGCGGCCAAAGGTGACGCGGCGGGCAGACGGCTGCTGGAATCCGCGGCGGGAGGCGCCCGCATCGTACACGGGCTCCTGGATCACGCTGTGTGTGTGTGTGTGGGGGGGGGGTTTGAGACGAACACAACGAGGAGGAGGAGGTGGTGGTGGAGGATTAGTGAAGGAAGGTGTTCCGGTGGAGGAGGAGGCGGGTTAAGTAAGTGGAGAGAGGTTGGTGTCAATGCAAGTCAGCTGAAAGCGTGCAGTGGCACGCACGCAGACGAAAGGCGAAAAACAACAACTCCCTGCTCACAAACACACACACACACACAGACAGAGCGAGCGAGCAAGCACGCGCACACACACGTACACACGTACACAGCACAAGAACAAAAGCAGAGCGGTGGGACTTACGCCTCCTCGCCGGCGGCAGTCTTCTCCGTGGTGACGTCTGCGAGCTCCATCTGCTTGGCCTCGTAGGCGTCGGACGCGGCCTTGGACGTGGGCGCGTGCACGCGGATCTTCTCGCTGGAGGAGAGGGTGAAGGCGTCAGTGCGGAAGCCGTAGTAGCGGAAGCCGTAGTACAGGGCGAGGCCAATGATGTTGACGAGGATGCCGAGGACGAGGGTGAGGTGGAAGGCCCAGCCAAACTTGGGCTCCAGGAAGCGGTTGTCAAAGGGAATCTTGAGCGCGGGCTCCGCCTTCTCCGTTAGGCCATGGTACACGGCAGCGCCGAACCTGTTGTCGTTGTCGTTGGTGGTGTGGTGTGTATGTGGTTGATTGGTGGTTGGTGGCGGTGGTGTGGTGTACATGTGGTTGGTTGGTTGGTTGAGTGAGTGAGTGAGAATTCAAGAGGTTCGTGTGAAGGTGGGAACATGTTCGGGTGAGAACATACGAGGACCGAGCCATGTGATGTAGGGTTGAATACAACAACAAGGGGGGGGGGGGAGAATGAAGACCAACACGACGTTCGTGCACGTGTGGGATGCATGTTCGACGCACCACATGGCGCATCCGGTGAGGGCAAGCCAGAGGGAGGAGGTGGCCGGGTTGATGAAGGCGACGATGATGGTGAACACCCAGAACACAAAGGCCAGCCTGGTTGTGGGTTGTTGTTGTTGTTGTGAGTGTTGGGTGGTGGTGGATGGTTGTTGTTGATGGTGGTGGGTGTTGGTGTTGTCGTGGGTTGTCGTAAGCGGGTCGCAACGGGGAGACAAGAGAAACGCATACATTGAACACATGCAAAAAGGGAGTGTAAGCACGACAACATCGTGCATGCGGGGAAAAACCTGTCAGCAGGACTGATTGACTGACTGACTGACCAGAGGAAGATGTGGCAGTAATAGCCGCCATCGCGGAACCAGCGGTTCCAGCGGATAAACTCGCCGTCAATCCTGTCGTCGTCGTTGGTGAGTGAAGGAGGTGTGTGTGTGTGTGTGTGTGTGTGTGTGTGTGTGTGTGTGTGTGTGTGTGTGTGTGTGTGTGTGTGTGTGTGGTGGTGGGTGGG